CACGTGCTTCTTCCCACATTTCTTGTCTGTGTACTCCACACACGCAACGCGCTCCTTCGGGCCAGCCGGCGACACTGTTGTTGTTGTGCAGTGCGAGGGCCCCGCTCCCCTCGCCTCCAGCGGCATGCGGCGTCGCCGGCGGCGGTGTCACGCTGCATCCTGCATCGGTATCGGCCGAGCGAAGCCGACCTAGCTCCGAAGGCGATACGAGCTGAGCAGGCCACGCTAGGCCCCTGCTTGAGGGCCGAGCCGAGCCGGCCGAGCCTTGCCTACTACGCAGCACGCCGCACCACTGCGCCCTGCGCTGGCGGCGGGGAGGTAGAGGGGGGAGGGGGCGGCCCCACGCCCCATGCCCTGAGCCGGCCCAGGCCAGCTTCACGCACAGACGCACAGACGCACAGACGCACAGACGCACAGACGCACGCATGGTCCCGCCCCGCCTCAAGACTATCTCGAGAGTAAAAGCAAGCTGACACCTTCATGACAATTGTATAGCTTGTTTCAGCTTTAGCAACGGTGTCATCTGCTAAAAACAAGCCCGGGCGGAAAGAAAAGTGGCAGGCGACGGCCTGCTTGTCATGGTAATGCAGGGGAAAGTCGGGCGGGGCGTCGGGGCGCGTTCTAACGCCGCCTCCTCAGATTCTGAGGGGCGCTGATCGGACGCTGGTTGCGGCGTAAGCAGGTGTCGAGTGGGCGTTGTGGCAGGGGCGGGGCGGGGCGGGGCGGGGCGGGGCGGGGCGGGGCGGGGCGGGGCGGGGCGGCAAGAGCAAGTCGCCAAGGGCGTGGTGGAGGTTAACGCGCAGCGAGTGGTGGAGCGACGCCGAGCCCGCCCGAATTATGCAGCAGCCGAGATGCTTGGCAATGCGACGGGGCGCGCGCCCTCGCCCTGCAATCGCCTTGCAATCGCTTGCAATCGGTAGCGACCGGCACGCCCGCGGGCGTGCGTGCAACGTGCAATCGTCGGCATCGAACGGGCGCGGCCGGGTTTGCAACCCAAGGCGCGATGCGCAGACAGCGGAAACGGGCGTGGCGGTGAGGCCCTGCGCGGCGTGGCACTTGCGTGGGCGGAGAGAGAGACAGGCGCTGAGATTGCGCTGGGAGTGCAGGTCGACCCCGAAGGCCGAGGCCAGTGCCTTGCCAGTGCCTTGCCAGTGCCTTGCCAGTGCCTTGCCAGTGCCAGTGCCTTGCCAGTGCCTTGCCAGTGCCTTGACAGTGCTGGAAGCGCAAGTCTTATTTCCGCACCAGAGCCGTTTGCCAGTAGTAGGGTTAATGGTTCAAATCTCGACAGGGTGGTGGACTTTTTTTTTACGGTCGCGCAGCAGGAAAAGTGGCCTCTGGCCCACGAGGGGACAGGCAAAGCAGCGCAAAGCCAAACGGTCTAATTTTTATTGAAACAAGGAACTCCGCGGGAGGCGGCCACCCCGCTGCCCTGGCCGCCCCCAGGCCGCCCCCTCCCCTTTCCCTTGCCCCCTTCAGAGGCAGGGAGGCGACTCGACTCCGGCACAGCAAGTCCCACTCAAAGTTGTCGTGAGCAAAGAAGAGGAAGCAGGGCTTGAAACACTCACGCCCGGAAATGGGGGAGGGGTTCTTTGTGGACGCTAATACGGTGCGTCTGGGCACGCCCTGGCACGCCCTGGCACGCCCTGGCACGCCCTGGCACGCCCTGGCACGCCCTGGCACGCCCTGGCTCGGCCCTTCCAAAGCCCTTCGCCTTCGGCCTGGGGCCTTGGCTCGCCAAGCCCTTGGTCCGCGAGGCTCCGGGCGGGGCGGGGCGGGGCGGGGCGGGGCGGGGTCGCTGTGACGTACGCCAAATAACGGCACTCGCCCTTTCCAGCGTTTTCAAGTTTTCACTGCGCGGACGGAAGGAGCAAGGACGCCGAGTCTCATCTCGCGCAGCAGCTCAAGCAGAGACCGGCTGAGACACAGCAGACTCATTCCGAGAGTCGTTTTCGTCGCTCTGTCTCTGTCGCGCCCATAGGCCGTCCCGTTATGCGTGCGAGAGAGACAGAGCGCCGAAAACCTCCAGCATGCGACTGCGACTGCAGTGCGTTTGGGGGCCAGACATTCGGAGCACGGCGCGCCACTCCATAGCGCGGCTCCAGCGCGCATACGCGGGGCCACTCTTTTAAGGCACTTCCTTTAAGGCGCCTCGCGCATTGCGCGCACTGCCGGCTCATCTCTTGATTTAGCGACGCTCCCCGCGTCCAGACAAAAAGGGGAGAGGGGGGCGCGTCTTTTAAAGCCACGCCGCCGCGTGCCCGCCGCGCGTCGTCTGCTTGGCGCGAGACATTTTCCCACGAGCTGTGTGTGAGTATATTGGTGATTGTGTGTTGTGTGTGAGCGTGAGCGTGTGTGTGTGTGTGTGTGTGTGTGTGTGTGTGTGTGTGTGCCAGCGCGCAGAAGAAGAAGAAGAAGAAGACCGCGGAAAATCACAGAAGGGAGAGAGAGAGAGGAGCGGCGAGGTGGCGAGGGGAGTGCCACGCTCAGACCAGAACCAGCGCTTCTCGTCGTCTCTGCGTGAGACTTAACAGCTTTGCGTCTCTACCAGTCTCTCTACTTGGCGGCCCAGCCCGGCCCAGCCCGGCCCAGCCCGGCCCAGCAGGCTCAAGACGGCTTGCGCTCGCCCAGGGCGGCGGCCAGGGCTTGGCACTTTACCGCGCCGAACGTGCGCAAGTCCATCGTCGAGGGCGTGGGCATAAGCACAGAGAGAGAGAGAGAGAGAGAGAGAGAGAGAGAGAGAGAGAGAGAGAGAGAGAGAGAGACAGAGAGAGACAGGGGGGGAGAGAATTGGTGTGCCAGGCAGGGGGCTCGAGGGCTCGGGGCCCGGCGAGCACTTCCCCGTCAAACTAACCCCATCCCGGCCGCGGCCGGACTGCCCGGACGTGGCCGCACGGACCCACACGGACCCGCACGGACGGACCCCCACGTGGGGCGTAGTGGGATGTAGCGGGACGGGCCCGTCGTAAATAAGGAAAACAAGGGCCGCCTTATGTCGGACTTAATGGAGTTGCAAGGCGGATCTGGGGCGGAGAGGTGCCGCTCACTGTTGTTGTTTGTTGTTGTTGTTTTTGTCGCTGTTGTTGCTGTTTTTGTCGCTGATGTTACTGTTGTTGTTGCTGTTTTTGTCGCTGTTGTTGCTGTTTTTCGCTGTTGTTGCTGTTTTTGTCACTGTTGTTGCTGTTTTTGTCGCTATGTTACTGTTGTTGTTGTTTCAGGTACGCGCCCCCGCAGTTTCTGCCTGTTGGGGCTGAAGCCGAGGCTGCGAGGCAGCGCGCGCCGAGTGTCACGAGGGGCGTTAAACCGATACCGCGTTCGGTGGGTTCGGCCCTCGGTTCGGCGCGCAGGTGTGGCCCGGGCGAAGGGAGAGGGGGCGGGGAGATCTTTCGGCATACCTCGAATGCCGAATGCGACTCGGGCGGGGCCGATAGTATGGGGAGGACGGGGGACGGGGGCATGCTCGATCGGGTGATGGCGAGAGCCCTCAGGTGGAACGCTTATCCACCGAGGCGAGGTTATCGGGGTGCTGCACGGCGCGGCGAGGGAGCGGGACAGCCAGTTGGACAAGCAGGCGACGCACACAGTGCATGCGCCCAAAACTCTAGGCGCGTTTTGAGCTGCACAGTCACTAAATGGGACTCGAACCGAACGTGTGACCCCACCAACGGATTGCTCTCCGAACGAGGAACCCATTGGTGGGGGCACGCCCTCTGTTCGAGTCCCATTTAGCGACTCTGGAGCTCAAAACGCGTCTAGGATTTTGACCGCCTCCACTGGACTCCGGGCCCACTGAGCGACCTGACCTAACCGTCCGCACTGGCAACCGTGGCGTGGTGGCCACGGAATGTCACGGTGCGCACGCCATCGAGGAAGGGGCGGGGAGGGAGGGAAGAAGAGAGGGAAGGAGGGAGAGAGAGAGAGAAAGAGAGGGGAGGGAGGAAAGTGAGAACTCGAAATCGTGAATAATGAGGAGGAATAATTGGCTCGATTACAGTGACGCGTGAGCCGGAGAGTGGAGCACGCAGTGACGGATCTCTCGGCGCGCGTTCGTGTGTGTGTGTGTGTAATGTGTGTGTATGTGGGTGTGTCCTGTTCGAGCGAATAAAACCATCCGCGCCCTTCCGCCGCCGCCAACTGCTGCGTGTGTGTGGGAGTGTGTGTGCGTTTGCATGGGCCAAGCCTGTGCAAAAAGCTTTATTAGGTTTTCATTTGTTCTAAAATGAATGGGCCGATGCATTGTCAAGCAGGCCGGGTTGCCGCCTTCCTTGCTGCCTGGCTGTCTGCCTGCCTGGCTGCCGCTGCTGGTCGTGTACAGTGTAGGGCGTAACAGTGTACCCGCGGTAATAACGCCGCGGTGCGCGGTCAAGTGCTGAATTGGCCGCGCCGTGCGGTGGCGCCGTGTAGAGTGTAGAGGGCACGGGGCCGTCCGCACGGTCCGTCTGTCTGTCCGTCCGTCTGTTTGTCCGGCCGCTGGAGTGATGTCACGGCCGCGTGACGTAGTGTGGACTCAGCTGGCGGCACGCCACTGGCACGCCCAACGCGGCGATGGCATAGGTAATTCGAACGGTGCGGCCGCCGTGACGGCGTCGTCACACACGCGGCCTCGCCGCTCACACAGACACACACAAGGCCTCGTCACACCGTGACACCGTGACCGGGCCGAGGCTGCCTCCGTCGGCGTGCCCAGCCCCGCGATGCAGCGCGATGCAGCCAGTCCCAGCGGCCGCCAGGTGCGGGAAACTTTCCAACCTCGCAGGCCTGGCAGCGGGCCCCAGCCTGGCCGACCCAGAATGGCAAAGATAACCTCAAAAACGGCCGCCAGCGGCGGGGATCGATCTTGGGACCGTGGCATTCGTGGCGCGGTGTGGCACTGGGTCAGTTGTACGGCATGTCACGCTCCCCCGCCGCAGACCACAACAACACACACACTCACATACACACACGCGCAGCGCGCACACTCCTTAAGGCTGTCAGGCGCCGTCGCAACGTCCGAGTTTACTCACCGAGCCTGCAGGTGAGTCTCTGGGCGTCGCTGCGCTCGTCCTGGTGCTCGTCAAGGCGGTCCGGATGCAGCACGCGTGTTGGCACGGCAAAATAGCACGTTAAAGTACGCGAGAAACGCTCCACGAACAGTCACCACCAGCACCGAAATACGGGGGGCCCACTTGGAAAACAAGTGAGCGTCGCGATGCGTCTTCTGCTACGGAGGTCTGCGGCGGAGGTGGCGCCCTCGCGCGGCGCGGGCTGTAACCAGTGGCGTATCGATTCCCCCGCCCCTTGTGCCCCGTGTGCCCCGGCCGTCCCTCGCCCTGCCTGGCGTAGCGTGGCGCCACTCCACTCTCCTCGCCCCGCGCCCCGCGGCCCCGCGGCCCCGCGGTCGCGACACCGCGGCGGAAGGCTTCGTTTCGCTTCGCGCGGCCCGAACCCCGAAACCGGCCGAGTCGCGACGGCGGCCCCAGTGGCGATGCCAGCGCCGCGTGGGGGCCGCTCTGGGAAGCAGTGCGGCGAGGCGTGGGGTATCGCCGCGCTGCCGGCCTGTCGGCGCGGGGTATCGCTGCCCGCGGTGGAGGCTGCGGGCCCTGCGGGCGGCGCAGCGCTTGATTGCACTCATTGTTGCGGCGTCCGGCGCGGCGGTCGGGGTGCGGGTCACGTTCGGGGTGGCCGTCGTCTCTCCCTGTCCCTTTCGCCCCACCAGTGTGGCGGTCGACGCGCACCCCGACGCCGCGGACGCCGCCCCGCCATCGTCCGGCGCTGCGGCTTCCGGTCCGCTGCGGTCCGCGGGCCGCGGCAGTGTAGTGGCTGAAAAGAAGGGCCGGCTTGTTTGGTCCGATTCAGAGCATCGCGCTGACGGGCTGACGCTGCAAACGGGAGTTTGGCGGAAGTCCGGCCGCCGGCAGTGCGGCGACGCGCCGGCCAACCAAGCCAGCCTGCTTCATTTGCATCTTTTCACGCGGCTCCCTTCCCTTACTGCAGTGCCGCTGGACGAGACACTGGGGCAGCGGTTCCCAACATTTTTAGGTTCGCAACCCCAAATTTGTTGCCAAAAATTTCCGCGACCCCAAGGAAAAATTTCGCGAACCCACGCGACCCCTCCTTTAGCATGCCTTTGATACGGAGTGCGATAATCCGCCTTAGTATCAAAACGGTCACAAATGTCTTTAAAAATCGTGGTTTGGGCCGGCTTTAAACAGCCACTGCGTCTGATCAAAGGCGGTATTACGTCCTCCCTCAGCGGGCATTTGGTCTTTGGACCTTCCTTTAGCATGCCTTTGTTACGGAGTGCGATTATCTGCCTTGGTTTGGGAGCAGTATTGCCGCAAAGTTGATCAAAACAGTCACATATGTCTTTGAAAAATCGTGTTTTGGGCCGACTTTAAGCAGCCACTGCGTCTGATCAGAGGCGGTATTACGTCCTCCCTCAGCAGGCATTTGGTCTTTGGACCTTCGTTTAGCACGCCTTTGTTACGGAGTGCGATTATCTGCCTTGGTTTGGGAGCAGTATTGCCGCAAAGTTGATCAAAACAGTCACAAATGTCTTTGAAAAATCGTGTTTTTGGCCGACTTTAAGCAGCCACTGCGTCTGATCCGAGGCGGTATTTCGTCCTCCCTCAGCGGGCATTTGGTCTTTGGGCCCTCCTTTAGCATGCTTTCGTTACGGAGTGCGATTGTCCAGCTTTATGTATTCTTTGCTCATGGGATTCTGGGTGACGGAAAACAACGATGAAACAAAACATTAGTGTTTATTTGTTTTTAAATTACATTACTTACATTACGAGGAAGTTCATTAAATTGCAAACATGCAGTGACAATTTCATTTTCATACAAGATATACAGATTAACAGACTATCACTACAGTTGGTAGTCAACGTACCGAGGAATTAAATACACATTCTTTGAAGTCTTAAAGGGAAACTGGAGAACAAGTTCGCCACATCAGATCACATTGTTTGTATCGAAACAAACTAGAAAGGTAGCAGTACCTCAGTGCAGCGCATGGGTGGAACCCCAGGCGTGCAGGCCGGTGTGGTCTCTGATAGAGCTATTCAGTCTTATAAACATCTACACAATTTATTTACACGCAATATAAACTAAAACTACACGTCTTTGGTAACTCCTTACATTACACTGTACACGATACTCAGGGAAAGGCTCTCGTAATACTGTCATGAGAAAAAATGAAAAGTAAAAGGACACAAACTTGTACTGACTGCAGGTAGGCACAAACACTACGGCGTTTACGTTCATCTTTACGGAGTAATCACAACATGGCACAACAGAAAGGAAGACAACTTCGCCTTCGTCGGATTCTCCTTTTGTTTTACAGTCTGAAATCCGACGCGTTAATTATTGATCCGGTAAAGGCCGCCGCGTCGAGGCAGTTCGTTTTCAGACGTTGTTCTGGTCCGGGGCGTTGAGCGGCTCCACGGAGGCGGACTTGGCGTGGATGCCGGCGTGCATGCCGTGGCCGCGGCCCCGACAGCACCGCGCCACGCGGCCGTGGACGCCGTACGCGGCCAGCAGCAGCGCGACGCACAGCGCCGCGGCGCCGACGACCAGCCCCACGGCCACGAGAGTCGCCTCCCACAGCGCCGCCTGCTCGTAGGACGGCGCCGTCCTCAGCGGGGCGTCCGTGGCGGCCGCGGGGGCGGCGGCCTGCTCCTGGCGGTGGTGGTGCGCCGACTGCCCCGTCGGCGGCGCGAGGTCCAGGGCGCTGGCCGCCGCCGAGGTGTCCGTCTGCACGGACAGCTGCAGCACTAGCGCCCCGGACACGTCGGTGGAATGGGCGTCGCCGACCTGCGGGCAAAAGGGAGACGCGGTCAGCACGGTGTCTGAGGAGGAGCGCCGGCGCGGTAGGCAGCCCATCGCACATCGCCGTCCTTACCGTCACTCTGGTGGCGTGCTGCTCCACGAGGGGCACCTCGGCCTGCGACACGCCGCTCACCACCCTGGAGCCCGAGATGCGCAGCGCGGGCACGGCCCAGCTGACGAGGGCCTCGGACTGCGCGGAGCCTCTTGGCGCCGTCCACGCCACCCTGGCCCTGGGCAAGCGCGCGCCGCCGCCCGCGGCCCAGACGCCGACGAGGTGCAGCCCCCAGCCGGCGGCCTTGGCCTTGTCGCCGCGACCCTTGCCGTGGCCGCGGCCGCGACCGCCACCCAGCAGCCGCTGCACCAAGTCCAGCCGCCGCTGGTCCAGCAGCACCTCTTCCTCGTCCTCGTCGTCGGCGTCCTCGTCGTCCTCCTCGGTCTGCTTGGCCGCGGTGCGGTCGCGGAGCAAGGCGCGCAGCAGCACGCCGTGCTGCACCGTGCCGCGGAGCTGTGCGAAGGAGCGCTGCGCAAGGCGCTGCAGGGAGGCGTCCGGGATGGCGTTGTTGTCGGAGCCTGCGGATGCTGAGGGCAGAATCACGGTTATTGGCATCCAGCATCCAGGGCTGCGATTCCAGAGTCACATTCAGACTCTTCGCGTGCTTACCTGCTTCGTCGTCCTCGTCCTCGTCGCTGGCGTCCTCGTCGTAGTAGTCCTCGCCGTCCTGGCTGAGGTCCTGCTGGTGGCCGTGGAGACTGAGGGGCTGCACGCAAGTGGACCCCCTCGCCACGGGGCCGTCCGCGGACACGGCCAGCACGGACACGGCGCGCATGGCGGCCCTCGTGGAGCCCTTCAGCTCCAGCCAGAGGTCCGTCGTCTGCAGAGGGAATCGTTGCTTTAGCGACCGCTGCGTACACGAGTTCTGTGCTCGGGTTTCTCCACTTGGAGCCCGTTCGTACCTGCTTGAGCTCCTTCCACGCCATGGAGGGCGCCATCCTGGCGCTCACGATGTACACCACGCGCCTGTGCGGTGCGGGCTTGGGAGCGGGGTTGGTGTCCTCCGCCTTGGCGTCGTCGTCGTACAGGTCCTCGGCGCTGTCGCCCTGCAGTCTCGCGCTCTCATCCGACTCGGCGGATTCGACGGAGGAGGCGGGCGCGTCTGAGGACGTCCCTTCCGAGTCAAAGGGCGCCGACGTCGTGACCGGGGGTGCGGCAGTGGTGGTGGTTGTGGTGGTGGGCGTGGTGGAGGCCGCCGTCGTGGCCGCGACCAGGCTCTGTGGGGGCTGCTTCCAACGCACCACGAGTCCGGCCGAGTCCAAGGAGGGCGCCGGCATGGCGCCGACGGGCGCCGAGGAGGCCTCGTTGGTGGGGCGCAGGCTCCAGCTACCCCCGGTGGCCGCGCCCGCGGACCCTGGGATGCCGTACGGGAAGTGGAAGTCGCAGGCAGCGCGGCAGCCAGCCCACTGCAACAGAGCGACAACAAGGATAAAGTTTGAGTTCCGCGCTGGGAGGTGGAGTCCACGAGAAGCCCCGGAGCTGGTGAAGCCCCAGGACGCCGCGCTGGAGCCCAGCCTTGGTCTCTGGAATGACAATGTAGTCGGGGAGAGCAAAGCGGACCGCGCCGCGCCGCGCTTGGCCGCTCAGGGCCCTGGACAAGTGTTTCTCTCAAAAACAACAAGCCGTCTCTCGTCTCGCCGCGCCGCCAGGCCGCCAGGCCGCCAGCGCGGCCCGTGTGAGCGTGTGTGCGTGCACGTGTGTGCGTATGTGTGCGTGTGTGTGTGTTGACGTGTGCGTATGTGTGTGTAAAGGAGACGTGCCGCCACACCAAGAGGCATCACCTGCACGTCAACACAAAATCGTCCGCCAAAGAAGGCAGGGACGCCGTCGACAATGGCAAAGGACATGACAAGGATATCGTCATCGCGGAATCTGCTGCCTTCGGGGTGCCTTTGGGCCGCCTGGAGCCGCCTGGAGCATACCTCTGGAGCGTCCCCGGAGCATCTCCCGGGCAACCGCTGCAGGGCCTTGCAGGGCAGGAGGGCCTAGGCGGTGCCGCTGTGGCATCTCTGGGGCGTCCCTGGAGCACCGCGGAGGCATCGCGTTACACGCCGACTCCGCGCTAAACAACCACACATTCCGGCTGTTCGTTGAGAAGGGGTCCGTTCTGTTCTGTGCCGCCGCCGCCAGGCCGCCACGGAGCCCAGCCCGGCGTGGCGGGCACGGCACGGCGCGACGCGGCACGGCGTGGCGTGTGGCTCAGGATTCACGGCGGGAAGGCCCCCAGACGGATCAGAAGATCTCACCTCGCTTCACTTCGCACGTCGCGCTGGGACGAGCCGAGTGCTGGAGGCGAGCGGTCCAGCCGAGCCAGGACAGGGAGGGCCGAGCCGAGCCGAGCCGGTCCGGAGG